TTAGGTTTTGTCTTGTGTTTGTCTTTGTGTTAGGGCTCCTAGGCAAAGTAGAGACCATCTCATTTTTTCTTCTAATTAGATTTCACATTTGATTACTTACTACAAAGCTATTTGAAATATCACACACCAATGTGTTTTATCCTTTTTTTTTTTTTTTTTTTTTAAGAAAAAGTTTAACAGAAATGTCACTATATTTACAGAGTAACTTCCTGGCACACATCAGGTCAGCTGGGGAACAGAAAGGGCAGGAGCAGATCATTAGAAATGGTCATTAAAGTAATTCTCCTTGGTAACAAGAACAGCACTTCATGTAGCTTATAGGCCTTCTTTCTTCTGTTTGGCTAGAAGCTTTATCCCCCTTTAACCTCGTGGTGGCAGGGGCCTGTAGTAACATCTTGGGCCGGGCGCAGTGGCTCATGCCTGTAATTCCAGCACTGTGGGAGGCCGAGGCAGGTGATCATTTGAGACCAGCCCGGCCAACATGGTGAAACCTCTTCTCTACTAAAAATACAAAAATGGGTGGAGCGTGGTGGCTCAGGCCTGTAATCCCAGCACTCTGGGAGGTCGAGGTGGGTGGATCACTTGTCAGGAGTTTGAGACCAGCTTGGCCAACATGGCAAAAACCCGTCTCTACTAAAAATACAAAAATGGGCGGAGTGTGGTGGCTCAGGCGTGTAATCCCAACACTCTGGGAGGTCGAGGTGGGTGGATCACTTGTCAGGAGTTTGAGACCAGCTTGGCCAACATGGCAAAAACTCGTCTCTACTAAAAATACAAAAATTAGCTGGGGGTGGTGGTACATGCCTGTAATCCCAACTACTGGGGAGGCTGAGGCAGGAGAATTGCTTGAACCTGGGAGTCAGAGGTTGCAGTAAGCCAAGATGGTGCCACTGCACTGCAGCCTGGGTGACATGGTGAAAGCTTATCTCTAATAAAAATACAAAAATTAGCCGGGCATGGTAGCGGGGCCTGTAATCCCAGTTACTTGTGAGGCTGAGGCAGGAGAATCGCTTGAACCCTGGAGCTGGAGGTTGCTGTGAGCTGAGATTGCACCACTGCACGCCAGCCTGGGCGACAGAGGGAGACTGTCTCAAAAAAAAAAAAAAAAAAAAAAAGGAAAAAAATTAGCTGGGCTTGGTGGCACACATCTGTAATCCCAGCTACAGGGAGGCTGAGGCAGAATTACTTGAACCTAGGAGGCAGAGGTTGCAGTGAGTCGAGATTTTGCCATCACTGCATTCCAGGCTGGGCGACAGAATAAGACTGTCTCAAAACCAAAAAGTATTATCTTCTCCTTATAGAGTCTCTAATCCTATTTCCATTAGTCATTTAATCATGCATTTCTTTTCTTTCTGCTGGCACATCTTTAATTACAAGGTTCAATCTTTCATAGATAACTATTTGAATCACTTCAACAGCTGGCCAGCCAACGTTTTCCTCACAGTCTTGTTGCCTAATTAGGCCATTTACAGTTTTTAGTTTACTACCTGTATAAGAAAAGCATCTGCTAAGGGCAATCTATTGAGTTTGTTTACTGTTTCTCTTGGAGTTACTGATATTAAATACTTTTTAATGTATTTGCATTACACATTTAAGAAGGTCTCGCTCTTAACATAGATCAGCAACAAGGAAATCTTTTTGATACAGGGTTTTGGTCTGTCACCCAAGCTGCTGGAGTGATGACACGATTTCGGTTCACTGCCGCCTTCACCTCCTGGGCTCAAGTGACCCTCCTACCTCAGCCTCCCAAGTAGCTGGGACTCCAGGCAGGCACCACCATACCCAGCTAGTTTTTTGGTATTTTTTGTAGAGACGTGGTTTTGCCATGTTGCCCAGGCTGAGAAAATCTAATCTTTACAACTTTGCCTTCTGAAATCTCATATACTAATTTATAATTTGCTTTCCTGTTTTGCTTTCCTGAGATGTTTCAGAGATGGGAATTAAAACTTGTTTTTTTTTCTTCCTTAGAGTGCAAAAGCAGTGCCTTACAAACTTAAGCAGGCTTCAGATTATCTGAGATGTTTGTTTAAAAGGCAGATTCTGGGACCCATTCCTGATTCAGGAATAGCAGGTACAACATTTTGAGAAACATTGCCTTTAAGGAAGTGGGTATGTCACACACAATTTTAATCTCACAGAAACAAAAAATGTGCTAATCTGAACATTTAAAACATTCGTTTTATTATTTACATGTTTGCCTCAAGTTATCACTTTACAGTGCTGTTCCATAAGGAAATCTGGAAAAAGTAAGACTTGATTTTGATTGTTTCCTAACACAAATAATCTTTGTTTTGTGTGATTCTTGGCTAATTCTATGTTTTCCTTTCTCTATTTTTAAGCTGACCATGGAGATATATTGCCATCAGAGTTTCTTTGAAATTTTGTGTGGAGTGTACAAAGAACAACAGGAGGCCAGCACTTATGAACAAGTATAACTCTTTATTAAGATAGAATTGTTCTTATTCAAGAAATAGATGAAAATGGTTAAGTACAATTAAATGGCTCCAAAAGTCTTACAATGAAAACAACAGTCCTGCCAGTTGTTCTTTCCAGAGGCAAACAATTTTCATTCTTAATTTTTCCTTCTGTTAGTTACCTTCATGGGTTTTTCCAAATTGTTATCTTTTTAGTTTTTCAAGTGAATGCATATATTAATACATAAAATTTTAAAAAGCTTCTTCAGTTTATAATGTATCCTAACAGTCCCCTGCCCCATCCCTCCTAATTCTCCAGAGCAATGACTTTTAACTCTTCCAGCAATGTCTTCTGTTTTTTCCCTCACATAACTACTTAGTCATTTCTTGATTATTTTGTACATTATATAGTGATTTCTGGATATGACAGGTGAGGATTTAGCTCTTACACCATCGTTATCTTCACTTCCTCCCATATTGTCCCAAAGTGCTTACCATATTTAGGGGTGAAGCAGTCACCACATCATTATGACTGTGTATGTATTGCTCCTTGTTGAGAAAAACAGTGTATTATGCTCTTCCTATCCTGTACTTCTTTCTGCCCTAGAATTAATGATTGCCTAACCAACCCTTCCCCCTTATTTTTTTACTTTTGCTTTATCTTCAATGAACTTCTTTCCAAATGCCCCAAATTTGGCAATAACTTATTTTTAAGAGAAGGGATCTCACTAAGGTAGCCAGGCTTGTCTGGAACTCTTGGGCTCAAGCCATCCTCTTGCTGAGCCTCCTGAGTAGCTGGGACTACAGGCATGGGCCATTCCACCCAGCTAACCTATTAATATTTTTACTGTTTCTTTTTAAGCCAGCTCCATAGCTGGAATATTGTCTGGATCTATGTCATTCTCTGGTTTGTGTACTCCTTCACTTTGCTGGAGTATTTTCTCCAATAGCTTCTCAAAAAAGGGTACATGGAGGTAACCCCTGAGTCTTTGCTTGCCTAAAAATGTATTTTACCTTCACCCTTGCTTATTTGGGTGAATATAGATTTATCAGTTGAAAATAACTTTCTAGAATTCTGAAGGCACGGTTCCATTGTTTTCAGATTCCTTTTCAAGACAGGGTCTCTTCTGTCCCCCAGGCTGGAGTGCAGTGGCACAACTACCGCTCACTGCAGCCTCGGACTCATGGGCTCCATTGATCCTTCCATCTCAGCTCCCTGAGTAGACGGGAATACAGGTGTGCGCCACAATGCCCAGCTAATTTTTGTGTTTTTTGTAGAGATGGGGCTTTGCCATGTTGCCCAAGCCGGTCTCAAGTGATCCACCTGCCTTGGCCTCCCAAAGTGCTAGGATTACAGGTGTGAGCCACTGGGCCCAGCTAGTTTTTCTTTTATTCTCTCTCTACTTCCTTCATTTCTCAAAGGCATCTCAAACTCAGTGGGCCCAAAACCAAAGTCAAACTCCATCAGAATATCCTGCTACTTACAACTTTAAAATATATCTTAAATCACAAGTTCTTACTACATGCAACCCTTTGGTTCAAGCAACCATCATCCCTCACTTGAACTTAGAATTGGTTTTCCTGCTTCTGTATTTTTTTAAATTATAGAATATTTCAAATAAACCATGCGTGGTTTTATTCTTTTTACTACATAAAAAGAATGAAGATGTGCCAGGTGTGGTGGCTCATGCCTGTAATCCTAGCACTTTGGGAAGCTGAGGTGGGCGAATCACTTGAGGTCAGGAGTTTGAGACCAGCCTTACCAACATGGTGAAATCTTGTCTGTACTAAAAATAAAAAATAAAAAATTTATCCAGGCATGGTGGTGTGCACTTAGTCCTAGCTACTTGGGAGCCTGAGGCAGGAGAATTGCTTGAATTTGGGAAGGCGGAGGTTGTAGTGAGCTGAGATTGCACCACTGCACTCCAGCCTGGGCAACAAGAGCTAAACTGTCTTTAAAAAAAAAAATATATATATATATATATATATACACACACACACACACATATATATATACACACACACACACACACACACATATATATATATATATGAATGAACGCTTACATACTTAAACATGAATTGCTTTAAGTGTTTGGCATTCGCTGTTCCCGTGCATGCCAGCAGCTTCTTACCGCAAACACCTGGGACTTACTATAGAGCAGCTGGAGTACATTCCGCCCACACACAGGACAAAGAGCTGACAACCAAGGAGAGAGAGGAATCAATACTCCAGTTTTCTCCCTTCCATTTCCCTGTATCTCAGCAGTATGGAGCTTGTTACCAGTGAGAACCTGCTCGCTGACTTTAAACTGGTTTTCTTACCTTCTCAGTTCAGTTTTTGCTTACCTCAACTGACGGTTTCTGGTATGACCTAGCAAATAAACTGCTTTTACTGAAATTTCAGTCTTGGAATCTACTTTGGGTTTCCCAATTTAAGACAGAAACATACTCATTTTCCCATCGCTGGACTTCCAGGTTGTTTTCAATTTTTCACTGTTACAAACAAGGCTGCAACATTTATCTACAAACCTCTGGATATACACGTAGGAAGCTTTTGGTATTTCCACTAGCGAAACTGCTCAGTTGAAGGGTATGTGGATCTTCACCTTTAATAAATATTGCCAACATTTGAAAAGCCCGACAATGTCAAGGACTGGCAAGAGTGTCACATGTGATGGGTGTGGAAAGGCAGCTCACTGTAGCAGGTGCTGGGGACTCAGTTGGGGTCTTGGAGAAGCACTTATTTATAGCAAGAATGTTTCGTAAATGGTATCTGATAGAGTCAAGAGTAGTGGGGAATAAAAACAAGTGGCTTAGAAATAATTATAGATCTAAAGTCAACAAAATACTTTTTTTCTAATGTAAAAATCCATACTTTTTTTAGAGGGAGGGGGAACAACTTAAACCAGAAAACACCTTCATATTAATCATTCTTCTCATATACTTCAAATTTGTACTTAATGCCTTTCTCCTCTTGGACATCAGAGAGAACACCTGGGTATCTGTAAAAGAAAAAAATATATAATTAAATTATGTGTCCATTAAAAACACAGCTTCCGTCATTCTCAGTTTAAACGCATCAATAATGCATAAAGCAAATAAAAAGTTTCCCTTTTTTCTTCACAATGGTAAACCACTGTCAAGTTGGATAAATATCATGCAAATATACTACATATGCAAATGATAAGAAAAAAACTGTAAACTATATAGAAAGTTAGAAAACAAAAAGTTTAATTTCTCCTCTTTTGTTTCCTTTGGATTCCTAATTCTCTCAAAAACCAGTTAGCAGTTTCCCTCGTATCTTTCCTCTCTATCACCCAGCTCATAGGAAATTTCTTAAGAACTTTTGGAAAGACTTACATTTGGTATCACATTTCTTGTGTAAGCAAAAGACAAAATACAACCTGAAGCTGTTTAGGGCATAACTGAAATTATGTGCCCTGGACAGTGACAGGTTCTCTGCTTCAGTTTGATTGATGGACACCACACTGCTCTAATTCCACAATGTGTGGCAGATTGTAATTCCTTTATTAGGATCTGCTATTCCTGTTCCCTAACTCTCACTTAAACCTGTGTTCTCTCCAGCTTCCCATCCAAAACCCAGCTTCTCCACTGAGGAATCTTCTGACCATTCCAGCCTCCAATAAACCCCAATCTTTGGTTACTTCTTCAGTACTATGCAGGCTGCACCCCAGTATGCTCCAGGTAGTCAGGAACACCTGCTTGAATCAGACTGTGCTTCTTTCTGGTTCTGCTGTGTGACATGCTTCTGAGCCTGGCTGTCAAAGTCTTCATCCTTGTAAAAAATTTAGCATTGTTGGCCAGGCGCAGTGGCTCATGCCTGTAATCCCAGCATTTTGGAAGGCCAAAGTGAGTGGATCACTTGAGGTCAGGAGTTCAAGACCAGCCTGGCCAACATGGTGAAACCCTGTCTCTAATAAAAATACAAAAATTACCTTGGCATGGTGGCGCGTGCCTGTAATCCCAGCTACTCAGGAGGCTGAGGCAGGAGAATTGCTTGAACCTGGGTGGTGGAGGTTGCAGTGAGTCAAGATGGCGCCACTGCACTCCAGCTTCCATGGCAGAGCAAGACTCCGCCCCCACCCCAAAAAATCAAAAAAGAATGTAGCATTGTGCCTAACACATTAAGTGTTCTATAAATGGTGCCTACTAGTATTATTGGTTTGTTTCATTTCTCTATTTTTAAAACTCACTGTAGGCAGGGAAAACACAGTAAACGTTTAAGTCTCCTGATATTCAATACATTGCTGAGTAATAACAGACATTAACCTTTGTTGACTAATGAGAGATTATGCAATTTTGGTAAAAAAAAATTAGGGGTACAAAGTAACAAAATTATAGGGAAAAAGATGCTTTCTGGAATAATTTATATTTCAGAGGAAGAAGCAATGTTTCTATTAACCATTTTCTATTATAATTTTAGTCTCTCTGAAATGAGTCATGAAAAGTAACATCTACATACATTTTTGGTGCAAAATTCTCAAGTGTCAAGACCGTCAGTTCATAAGACAAAAGCGACATATCAAGAAGTTTCTGGGCCGGGGGCGGTGGCTCACGCCTGTAATCCCAGCACTCTGGGAAGCTGAGGACGAGGCACGTGGATCATCTGAGGTCAGGAGTTCGAGACAAGCCTGTCCAACATGGTGAAACCCCGTCTCTACTAAAAATACAAAAATTAGCTGGGCATGGTGGCGGGCACCTGTAATCCCAGCTACTTGGGAGGCTGAGGCAGGAGAATCGCTTGAACCTGGGAGGAGGTTGCAGTGAGCCAAGATCGTGCCACTGCACTCCAGCCTTGGCAACAAAGCAAGACTGTATCTCAAAAACAAAAAATAAACCGAAAAACCAAAACACAATTAAAATCAAGACTCTACAGGAAGCACAGGCTCAGGAGCAAAGGGGCAGCTGAGTAATGAGGACGAGTATGCCAGCATCCAGACAGGAAGTTGTAGGGTCAGAAGAAGAAACATCAGCCTATCCAAAACCTACTTCAAGGTGTCCATTGACAAGGGGCATCTGTCCCAGCTCTGGAGCCAACTACTGCCTCCACAGGCCTCTTTTAATCTCTATTCTCTTTGACTATGTGGTCACACACAAGATTGTTAACTAGAAGTAAAAGCCTGTTGGGGGCTCATTAAGTAGAAAACTGCCGATATAAAATATCTGGGCCTGCTGGTTTGGTTGGGGTCTAGTGTGAAATAGTCTGAGATAGATTTCTTCCAGGTAAGATGAATAAGAGCAGAGCCCTAGAGGACAGGCTGGCACGGTGCTGTTGAAAAATCGACTGCCCAAACAATGACCTACAGGGATGAAGGCAGACACAAAGTAAAACCACCTTACTTTATTAATATGACCTTCTGCTCTGGCTTCCATCACTTGTGGCTCCTTCTACATTCTAATTTTATTCTCTTCTTGCCTCACAAGTTTTCTCTTTCATCGGTATTTCACTATACTAGTGTGTCTTATTTTTTAAATCGGGAAGAATAGTGTTAATAAAATACATTATATTTGAACAGAAACCTATATAACCACAAGAGGTCAACTGATAGAGACAACGGGGCTTAAACTAAGGGAGTAGCTGTGGGGAAAGGGATAGGGGAGGTGGAGAATGACCAAAGTTTATATTTGGACAGTAGAAAGCAAATCCAAGTTCCCCAGCGCACAGAGATCTGGAGAGAAAGCCGCTCCAGAATTGAGCAATGTTAGTTTTCCAGGGACAAGGTATATTCACTTTATCTTCACAGGTTTCCTTTTTCTCCAGAGAATGAAGGATTGACTTATTCTAGGTCTCCCGTTAGAGAATTCCTTCCATTCTATTAAAGAGGCTGTTATGATGTTATGTTAGTAGATGCCTGAAAGTACAAATGACCATCAAATGTTGCAATGGAAGAGTTTTTTGCTTTCTCCCATAGCCTTGTTTAGAATCTCCACTTTGGAGCAATTTCCTTATTCCTATCTCAATCTATTCACTATTAATATTTTCTAAGACATTTAAGAAGTACTACCAATCCGTCACAAACTCTTTCAAAATCACAGAAGGGAAGAGAGCATCTCCTAATTCACTCTATGAGGTCACTTTTATCCTGATAACAAAACCAGGGGAAGGCATTTAAAAAAAACAAAAACAAAAACTGTAATCCCAGGACTTTGGGAGGCCGAGGCGGGCGGATCATGAGGTCAGGAGATCGAGACCATCCTGGCTAACATGGTGAAACCCCGTCTCTACTAAAAATACAAAAAATTAGCCGGGCGTGGTGGTGGGCACCTGTAGTCCCAGCTGCTCAGGAGGCGTGAACCTGGGAGGCAGAGCTTGCAGTGAGCTGAGATTGTGCTGCTGCACTCCAGCCTGGGTGACAGAGTGAGACTCCGTCTCCAAAAGAAAAACAAACAAACTATAAATCACCCCTTCTGAATATAAATGCAAAAATCTTCAACAAAATACTAGCAACCTAAGCCCAGTAACATATAAAAAGGATTAGATACCAAGTAGAATTTATCCCAGAAACATTAGTTTAACGTGAAAATCAATGTGTTATACCATATTAATAGTACATTAAAGTATTAGTATAAAAGACAAAAACCACATGATCATCTCAATAGACTCAGAAAAAGTATGTCACAAAATCTATAATACTCTCATGATAAAAAATACTAAATAAACTAGAAACAGAAGGGATCTTCCTCAATGTGATAAAGGCACTAACAGCTTAAATCACACTTGATGAGAGAGAAAAGCTTCCCCTCTAAGATTAGGAACAAGACAAGTAAGTCTGCTCTTGCTATTTTCTAGTCAACACTGTATTGGCAGGTCTAGCCATGGCAATTAGGCAAAGAAAAAAGTAAAAAAACATCCAGATTAAAAAGGAAGAAGTAAACCTATATTTGCAGATGACATTATACTGTAGAGAAAATCCTAAGGAATCTACCAAGAATCAGAATTACTAAATGAGTTCAGCAAGGTTGCAAGATACAAGATCAATAAACAAAAATTACTTGCATTTCTGTAAATAGCAATGAACAGTCTGAAACTAAAGAAAACACCATTTACAACAGCATCAAAAGGAATATAATACATAAGAATGAATTTAACACTGAAAGGTATAAAACATTGCTGAACGAAATAGGACCTAAACAAGGGGAAAGACATCACATGCTCAGGGTTTAAATTTTTTTTTTTTTTTTTGAGACAGAGTCTTGCTCTGTCACCCAGGCTGGAGTGCAATGGCGTGATCTTGGCTCACTACAACCTCTGCCTCCCAGGAACAAGCAGTTCTACTGCCTGAGCCTCCCAAGTAGCTGGGATTACAGGCATGTGCCACCACACCCAGCTAATTTTTTGAATTTTTAGTAGAGATGGGATTTCGCCACGTTGGTCAGGCTGGTCTTCAACTCCTGACCTCAGGTGATCTGACCCCCTCGACCTCCCAAAGTGCTGGAATTACAGGCATGAGTCACTGTGCCTGGCCTTTTTTTTTTTTTTTTTTAAATAATATACTTACTCTGGTAGAAGTTTATATTTCTCCAAATCAATTTCTGGAAGAAAGGTGTCACTTTCAAAGTCTTGCATGATCCTTGTCACAAATAGTTTAAGATGGCCTGGGTGATTCATGGCTTCCTTTGAAATAAAACAACATCAATTTTCTTAATGTGTATCAAAAGACATAGAAACTCTAAGATTTATGTTTAGTTAGTTTATACTAAGTATTAAAAATATGCTTGGTACTGCCAAAGCATATTATTAAAATATCCTATTATTTCATCTGGGGTGCTGCAAAGTATGCCTTAGTTATATTGAGAATGACACTAACCATTAACAATAATTATGACAGACTGAGTTTAAATATAGTCTGGCCTCCAGTTTGCTTACAAGAACTTTTTAATTTAAGCGTTCTCTTTTATTGTTTTCCTTTTGGCTGTTTAGAGTTAAGAGCCCAAAATTATCTAGTTGTTCTCCATAGAAAAACTTACATTAACATGTATGAATAAGATAGTACAATTTAATGAGACCTTGACTATGGAAAACCCCAAGAGCATACTTAGTACATATACATAAAATTTAGTAATGCTTCCAATTCTCAGAAGATAATTACAATGCTAGTAGGTAGGTAATTTATTCTGCTTCTTGTTGCTAACAATTGTATTAACATTTGGCTTAATATTGTACATGACTTTTCTAACTACTCCCTAAAATATGGTTGATAATTTCTGTAGAAAAAGTTGCCCTAGAATGAGTGTCTTAAAATTCTCATTCATAAAAAGTATGTCTTAATTGCAATTCTAAGAAAGCAGTAGTTCTTGATCTTAAATAGCTTATAGAAAACACACACACACACACACACACACACACACACACACAACAAATCCAAGTGTTTATTTTTAAAATTCCAAATAAGGGTACAGAACAAATTTTACTTTTTATTTTCAAAACATTGTTTTATATTAAATCATTTATTATTTTTGCTACAACCAAATAGATGCTCTACCAATTCTTACTGTACCAAAAATTTAAAAAGTGGAACGCAGAGTCTCCCCCTTATTTGCAGTTTCACTTTCCAGTTTGTTATCTGTGGCCAACTGTGATCTGAAAATATTAACTGGAAAATTCCAGAAATAATGCATAAGATTTAAATGACATGCTGTTCTAAGTAGTGTGAAGAAATCTTGTGCTGTTCTGCTCTGTCCTGCCTAGGACGTGAATTATCAGTTTGTCTTGCACATGCTGTCTATGTTACCTGCCCCTTAGTCACTTAGGAGCCGTCTGGATTATTAGATTGACTGTGGTGGTGAAGTTCTGTATTAAAGTTGATTATAAGCCGGGCGCGGTGGCTCATGCCTGTAATCCCAGCACTTTGTGAGGCTGAGGCGGGTGGATCACCCGAAGTCAGGAGTTCGAGACCAGCCTGACCAACATGGAGAAACCCCGTCTCTACTAAAAATACAAAATTACCCGGGCATGGTGGTGCATGCCTCTAATCCCAGCTACTTGGGAGGCTGAGGCAGAAGAATCGCTTGAACCTGGGAGGCAGAAGTTGTGGTGAGCCGAGATCGCACCATTGCACTCCAGCCTGGTCAAAAAGGGCAAAACTCAGTCTCAAAAAAAAAAAAAAAAAAAAAGGTGATTATATAAGCAAACCTTCTGTAAAGGGAGAGATGGTAAATATTTTTGGCTCTGAGGGCCATAGGGTTTCCTACCTTTGTAGGCCACAGACAGTACTGAATGAATGGGTGGAGCTGTGTTCCAATGAAACTTTCTTTACAAAAATAGGCTGGGAGGTCCGATTTGGCCCACAGAAGATAAGCCTGAATGATATCTACAAGCTGTTGTGATGTGTGGTAGGTGGATAATGTAAAAATATCATTTGAAGATTCTACTTCCTATTTATCTATATATAGATTTATCATATTATATAAATGCATTTACGTACTTATATTGCTTAAAGAATACATTTTCTAGTGACTATGGTAATGAATCATTCAAAGTGTGGTAGGCACTGAACAAAATAAAGAAATAACTTGTTTTCTTAGAAGAAATTCATACTTGGATGACAATATCAAGGAAAAAATGTCCATTTTCTTCTATCACAAATTGAGAAAATAAGAGGTTCTAGAAACAGGAGCCCAAGAAACTGAGAGTTTTTTTTTTTTTTTGAGACAGAGTCTCTCTGTTACCCAGGCTGGAGTGCAGTGGCACGCTCTCAGCTCACTGCAACCTCTGCCTCCTGTGTTCAGGTGATTTTCCCACCTCAGCCTCCCAAGTAGCTGGGACTACAGGGGCCCGCCACCACACCCAACTAATTTTTGTATTTTTAGGAGAGATGGAGTTTCACCATGTTGGCCAAGCTGGTTTTAAACTCCTGACCTCAAGCAGTCCACCCGCCTTGGCCTCCCAAAGTGCTGGGATTACAGGCCTCCACCTACCTCTTCTTTCTAAAATAATTTCAGTGTATATATCTTACCACAAGACCACCCAAATGGCAGAAACGGATTTTTCTTCCTCCTCATAAATGTTAATTTTTCATTAGTGTTTTAAAAGGCAAAGAATTCTATTATCCTCAAAAGTTTTAAAGCTGGAAGTCATTTGGTATTAAAAAAGAGGTATAAGCCGGGCGCGGTGGCTCACGCCTGTAATCCCAGCACTTTGGGAGGCCGAGGCGGGCGGATCACGAGGTCAGGAGATCGAGATCACAGTGAAACCCCGTCTCTACTAAAAATACAAAAAATTAGCCGGGCGCGGTGGTGGGCGCCTGTAGTCCCAGCTACTCGGGAGGCTGAGCCAGGAGAATGGCGTGAACCCGGGAGGTGGAGCTTGCCGTGAGCCGAGATCGCGCCACTGCACTCCAGCCTGGGCGACTGAACTAGACTCCGTCTCAAAAAAAAAAAAAAAAAAAAAAAAAGAGGTATATTGGCCAGGCGCAGTGGCTCACACCTGTAATCCCAGCCCTTTGGGAGGCTGAGGCAGGCGGATCAGCAGGTCAGGAGGTCAAGACCATCCTGGCTAACATGGTGAAACCCCATCTCTACTAAAAATACAAAAAAAATTAGCTGGGTATGGTGGCATGCGCCTATAGTCCCAGCTACTCGGGAAGCTGAGGCAAGAGAATGGCGTGAACCCAGGAGGCGGAGCTTGCAGTAAGCCGAGATTATGCCACTGCACTCCAGCCTGGGCGACACAGTGAGACTCCGTCTCAAAAAACAACAACAACAACAACAAAAAAAACCAAAAAAAATTGGTTGAGGAAGTTTTCTGCTTGTAATAAATTCATATACATCTAGTTAGTGTATATCAACTGAGAGCCCCAACCCTTTCTCAGTAAGAGATAGATTCATCCTGAAAGACAAAGTGTATCTAGGGTACATTTAGGTAGTAGAAACCAGTGCAATGCAACTACATTTCTCAGGAAAAGATTTAGAATGGATTTTAAATTGGAAATATCAATTATTCTTTGATTTGAAAGTAGACTGGTACTGGAGAGATGTTGGTCACAGGATACAAGATTTCAGTTACACAGGAGGAGTAAGTTAAAGAGATCTATTGTACAACATCTATTATTTTATAGTTAATAAATGTATTCTTGAAAACTGCTAAGCTAGTAGACTTTAAGTGTTCTTACCACATAAAATAAGTGGGTAATACATATGTTAATTAGCTCCATTTAGCCATTCTACAATATATACACATTTCAAAACAACATGTTGTACATAATATATATATGCAATTATTTGCCAATTAAAAAGATAAATAGGCTAGGTGCTCACGCCTGTAATCCCAGCACTTTGGGAGATCAACTGCTTGAACCCAGGAGTTCAAGACCAACCTGGTCAACATGGCAAAACCCTGACTCTACAAAAAATACAGAGATTAGCCAGGCATGATGGTGTGTGCCTAAAGTCCCAGCTACTTGGGAGGAAAGGTGGGAGGATTGCTTGGGCCTGCCTGGGAGCTCGTGGCTACAGTGAGACAGTGCCACTGCACTCTAGCCCAGGTGACAAAGCAAGAACCTGTCCCAAAAATAAATGAATAAATAAATAATAGGCTATAAATAATAATAAATAGCCTATAAAAGATAGGCTGATACAGACTAAAATATTTATTTTTGCATTTCTATTTAGTTTGTATAGTATCAAACAACAAATAATTTGAACTGACAACAAATAATTTACAGTACAGATAATGTGCTGCTTCCTATACTCATGGCTTAATTTTTTAAAGGTTCAGATGATGAGTTATGTCTGTTTTCTTCCACTTCCTTTAAATGGCAGGGAAGCTGAAAGAAAGTAGAATAGAACATTTCTTTTTATTTACCAATAACTACACTTACCTTATAAACAGAACTGCCACCAACTATCCAAATCATGTCTACTTTATTTGCTAATTCTGGTTGTTCAGTAAGTTTTAAGGCATCATCCAGACTTCTGGCAAGAAAATGAGCTCCTTGTGGAGGTTCCCTGAGGTTAAAAAAAGAATTACACATAATTTTCGTAAAATCCATCCATACTAGTCAAATAATCTGACTAAGCAGCAGTGACTATAGAATTAAAATAATCATAAATATGAATCCTTTCAACAAGAAGCACTTAACATCAGTATGGCCTATGACCAATAATTCAGCCTACATTTGTACATCTATGGCTCACAATGAATCATGAAACAGAACCAGGTGGTATCTTGTGATATCTCTGGTGGAAAAACATCAGAATAGGAGTTATTTCCGGAGGGGTGGGATAAAGATTCACTTGGACAGGGCAGGAGAGAATACTAGGGATGATAGGTACTATTCTGTATCTTTGATAGGGCTGGGGTTACACAGGTGTGTACATTTACCAAAACTTAGCAAATGTACATTTAAGACTTGTGTCTCATGTAATAGTTACTTCAGAAGGACAAAAACTGTAAAAGACAGAATCATTGTATTTATTTATTTATGAGATAGAGTCTTGCTCTGTTGTCCAGGCTGGAGTTCAGTGGCACGATCTCGGCTCACTGCAAGCTCCGCCTCCTAGGTTCACGCCATTTTCCTGCCTCAGCCTCTCTGTAGCTGGGACTACAGGCGCCCACCACCATGTCTGGCTAATTTTTTGTATTTTTAGTAGAGATGGGGTTTCACCCTGTTAGCCAGGATGGTCTCGATCTCCTGACCTGCTGATCTGCTCGCCTCGGCCTCCCAAAGTGCTGGGATTACAGGTGTGAGCCACAGCACCCGGCCAAGACTGAATCATTAATGGTATGAATGATGAAGTATTTAGGTGGAAATACACTAATGTCTGTAGTTTATTATGAATGCAAAAATGAACAAGATCGATTGATGGATGAATGAAGATGTGATGAAACTAGTAGAGTAAAATGTTAATGGTAGATCTAGGTGGATGGTTTACTGTAAACTTCTTTCTGTATGTGTGAAGATTTTCCTGATAAAATATTAGAAAAAGAGTGATATGTTTGAATGACTGCAGAAAAGCTTGGAATGACATTCAGACTGTTAATATGTCATTACCTTTGGGAACGGGGAAAGGATTTTCATGTTTCAAACAATACAGGAATGGGTGAAGTATTAAAAAATGAGCTTATTATTATGTAATTAAAATCCAAAAGGGAAGAAGTTAATTAATTTCAGTGTTTACTCAGGGGTGGTCCAATATTTTGGCTTCTCTTGGCCACATTGGAAGAATTGTCTTGGGTCACACATAAAATACACTAACATTAACGATAGCTGATGAGCTTTAAAAAAAAAAAAAAAAAAAAAAAGATCTGTGCATAACGTTTTAAGAAAGTTCACTAATTTGTGTTGGGTGGCATTCAAAGCCATCCTAGGCCACTCTGAGGCCTGCGAGTCATGGGCTGGACAAGCTTGGTGTACACTGACTAGCTTAGTCTCTCCCAATCTCTGAAACTATTTTGTTGGTCATGGTGGGGGTTGCAATTCCCTTTATAAATGACGAAACGTGTGGAAATAGGCTTTCATAGTAATTAGATACACAACAGAAATTACAATTCAATGTCAAGTTTTTAGCCTGCTGCTTTAACAAGATTATATAATTGCCCTTGAACTCATAGTTATAATAAGGATTAATCAAGAACTTGATTGCCTCCTCCCTCTCCCTCCTAATATGTATTTTACTTATTTTATTCTGTCATTCTTAAAAGAATTAGGTTAGAGCAAAGAATGTACTTTGACTCAGGCTGGAAAAAGACATGGAGGCCAGGGAGAAGTTAAATAAGCCCAGGTTATCTCCTAAGGTATCAGGGCAGTTGCAGGGACCAGGTTGGACTAGGCTCTTCGGAGAGAGAACTGAATCTAGAAGAAACAAAGATTTGGAGTTGGGAGAGAAGAGAGTTTCGTTAATAAACCAATGATGGCCAAAACAGAGCTGTGACGGTGTTAGTAACTGCAGATGTGACGACTTCCTTGCCCTTTTGTAGTGAATGTGGAAAAGAAAGTGAAGAACAGATTAGCCAGGCTCATGGTGGCTCATGCCTGTAATCTCAGCACTTTGGGAGGCCAAGACGGGCAGATCACCTGAGGTTAGGAGTTCCAGACCAGCCTGGCCAACACAGTGAAACCCCGTCTCTACTAAAAGTAGAAAAATTAGCTGGGCATGGTGGCGCGTGCCTGTAATCCCAGGTACTTGGGAGGCTGATATAGGAGAATCGCTTGAACCCAGAAGGTGGAGGTTGCAGTGAGCCGAGATTGCGCCACTGCATTCCAGCCTGGGTGAGACAGCGAGACTCTGTCTCAAAAAAACCCAACTCCCGCCGCCACAAAAAAAACAAAAAAAATAAATTAAAGATAGAGCAAAGTTAGAGATTTAAGTTAAAAAAAAGGTATGAAGAATATGCTTCTGTAAAATGTGGCTATTTAGCACTTTCGAGTTCAGTATCACAGGAAACACTGGACCTCCAGGTGGGTAAAAAAGAACATGCAAAAAGCTGAGCTAGTGTTTGAGTTCATCAGCCCTTACACGGCACAAGTGCTAGAAATTAATACAGTAAATGACAAATAGGAAGCATCCAATATAGTGACGTATTTCACTGCTGAATTTCTTTCCTATAATTATTTTAAACCAATCTAGATTGGATTCCCTGACAAAGGAATGTGGTAGCATACATATTCTTTGTTAACAAATGTGTGGACATGCTTGATGTTTTTGTGACTGAGTGTTGAGGGTTTGCATGAAGACTAAATGAGATAATGTACACATTGCATTTAACTGGCAATCGTACGTGGTACTATCATTCCTTTTTATAGATGAGGAAACTGAGGCTGAATGGTTAAGACACTACTGGTCACACAGCCAGGAAATGACGGACCTTGGAGTTGAACTCCAGCAGCCTGAGTTTGAAACTTGAGCTGCAACTTGTTACGTGGACAAAAGACTGCAGTTGGTGCCTGTGGGCTACAGGGGCCCTTAGACACCAGGATGGTAGGGCTTAGATTAGTGGAACCCTGACTCTTGTCCTATGGCCTTATCTGATTACCCCGGGTGACATGTAAACATTATCCTTTTTCACTGTTCCTGATGTGAGGACGGCCAATGGAATTCTGGCTCCATTTCCCCAGGGAGTGTTGGGAAACCACTTAAAAAACCAAAAAACCCTGAAATGGAATGGTGTCTTAACCAGAACACAAAAATACACCCTCAATTTAAGACCTTTCACACTGAGCCTTTAAAAATGGTGTTCTCTACTAAGCCATACCTCATTTCATTGTGCTTCAAAGATACTGAGGTGTTTTTCTTTTTTACAAATTGAAGGTTTGTGCCAACCCTGCACTGAGCAGGTCTATTGGTGAAGTTTTTCCAACAGCATGTGTTCACTTTGTATTTCTATGTTACATTTTGGTAATTCTCACAATATTTCAGGCTTTTTCATTATAATGTTTTGGGGATCTTGCTGCTACTGTTGCAAGGAACTGTTATGGGGTGCCATAAATCATGCCCTTTTAAGATGGTGAACTGATACATGTTGGGTGTTCTGACAGCTCCACTAACTGGCTATTCCTGTTTCTCTCCCTCTCTTCTGGCCTCCCAATTCCCTGAGACACAACAATATTGAAATGAGGCCAATTAGTAACCCTACAATGGCCTCAAAGCGTAGGAGTGAAAGGAAGAGTTGCATATTTCTCATGTAAAATCAAAAGCTAGAAATGATTATGCTTAGTGAAGGAGGCACATAGCAAAGCCAAGACAGGCCAAAAGCCATGCCTCTGGCATCTAACAGCCAAGTTGTAAATACAAAAGAAAAGCTCTTGAAGGAAATCAGAAGTGCTATTCCAGTGAAAATGTGAACGGTAAGAAAGCAAACAGCCTGGCCGGCGCGGTGGCTTACACCTGTAATCCCAGCACTTTGGGAGGCCGAGGCGGGAGGATCATGAGGTCAGGAGATCGAGACCATCCTGGTTAACACAGTACAACCCTGTCTTTACTAAAAATACAAAAAAATTAGCCAGGCGTGGTGGTCGGCGCCTGTAGTCCCAGCTACTCGGGGGGCTGAGGCAGGAAAATGGTGTGAACCTGGGAGGTAGAGCTTGCAGTGAGCCGAGATCGCACCACTGCACTCCAGCCCGGGCGACAGCGAGACTGTGTCTCTAAAAAAAAAACACAAAAAAACCCACAAAGAAAACAAATAGCCTTATTGCTGATGTGGAGAAAGCTGAGTGGTCTGGATAGATCAAACCAGCCACATTACCTCACACCAAAGCCCAATCTAGAACAAGGCTTTAACCCTCTTTAATTCTGTAAAGGCTGAGAGAGGTGAGAAAGCTATAGAAGAAAAGTTTGAAACTAGCAGGGTTTGGTTCATGATGTTTAAGGAAAAAGCTGTCTTCATAAGAAAAAAGTACAAGGTGAAGCAGCAAGTTTATCCGGAAGATCTGGCTAAGATCATTGATGAAGGTGGTTACACTAAGAACAGGTTTTCAATGGAGACAAAATAGCCTGCTATTCAAGGAAGATGCCATCTAGGACTTCATAGCTATAAAAGAGAAGTCAATGCCTAGTTTTAAAGTTTCCAAGAACAGAATGATTCTCTTGTTAGGGGTTAAGGCAAGCTGATGACTTTCAGTGGAAGCGAATGCTCATTTACCGTTCTGAAAATCCCAGGGCGTTTAAGAATTATGCTAAATCTTCTCTGCCTGTGCATTAGAAATGGAACAACGAAACTTCGATGACAGCACATTTGTTTACAGCATGGTTCACTAAATATTTTAAGCCTAATGTTGAGACCTACTGCTCAGGAAGGAAGATTTCCTTTCAAAATATTCCTGCTCATTCTGCAGCCCATGGATCAAGGAGTAATTTTGACTTTGAAGTCTTACTATTTAAGAAATACATTTTCTAAGGCTGTAGCTGCAATAGTCAGTCATTCCTTTGATGGATCTGGGCAAAGTAAATGGAAAACCTTTTAAAAAGGATTCACTATTCTAGATGCCATTAACAACATTCATGATTCA